GTCCACCCACACGCTGTCCAACCAATCACAGGCCGACCTAGCCAATGAACGCCCACTCTCTCTCTGTCTACTGGCCTGACTGCTCTCAAACTGGCACTTTGACTCGACTGGCTCTTCTGGCCGGTTGCATGCTGTCCAAGTCAAATTTCTGTCCATCTATTCTCCGTTCCTTTGTGTACACAATATACTCTTCCTAACAATCTGGCCTCCATCGACTTCTTCTCTCACAAGTAACCATGGTCTGAAGATCGCAGTTGCTGGGTTTAACTCACTTAACCCCCTGCGGTAAGCTGAGTGTCCAGACAGGATTTCCTAGGCAATCAATCTGTAATCCACTAGAATGACTACCAGGCGCACTTAATTATAAGGGAAGGGGTGGCAGATTTAAATACTACTTTAATGGGTCTAAAACTAACGGAGGACTCACCGGATCAATTTGCAGTTGAGTGCACCGTGCAGTGGCCAGAGCTGCTGCCACGACGAGGGCGCTACTACTCGAAAGTCCAGCGCACGTGGGCAGACATTCGTCGCCTAAGCCGTGACCCACGAGTATCCGCATCGACGGTGGCTTCCAGGGCTGCAAAACAGGAGGAAAAATCTGAGGGCAAATCCGGCAAACCTTCAAGACATGTGAATACCAACCCCCCTAGGCCTTCCTAAGGAAAAACGACAGAAAGGCTTTCCACAGGTAACCTTTGCGAATAATTTCTTCCTGCGGCCCGCATGATAGCAAAAGCCATCGACAAATAAATGGACTAGGATGCGAAAAAATGGGGCGCTGAGACCAACTACTTTGGATAAGCTTCTACGGCACGCCTCAACAGGTAATCACAGAGTACTGTTCAAGGAAGCAGCCCTAATGGTGTCTTATTCCAGCTTCAGGACCATGGGTGATTACTAATGCTGTATACAAATTTCACAGAGTTCGAGATTTTAAGTCAAACAGCGTACTATGCCTCCTACCGCAGCCTAAATTTCTCCAAACCGTCTCTACAGTTAGTCTGTTGTGTGTGTGTGCCCGAAAAGCTAGGCGGTCACCAGGCGGTGGGGGAGAGAGTGAGGTCGA